AAACGATCCCACAGTGGAAGACAATTTTGCAAAAAAAGTAAAATATTAGTCCATTAAAAAATTAAATGTTGTACTAGATTATTATTAATGCAGAACAGTATGAAACAGTCTGTAGATTAACTCGGAAACTCTCACTTTTTTGCATAAACGGTTACCTGGGGGTAATTTTTACATTCCAATTAAAAGTCATTGTTATTAATTGCATATTTTTTATTGTTCATAATTTATTAGTATGTGAGGACAATATATAGATTTATTTAATAACTTCTAAAAAAAGTAAGGAGAAACTTAAAAAAATATTTAAAAAACGAAAAAGAAGCACATTAAAATTACTATGATGTGATCTTTAATCTTTTCGACACTGGGGTATAAAAATCATCATCAGGTGACCGTTCCCAGATTAAAATAACCATATTGATTCCCATTTCATAACTTTCTAACTTAATGTCAGGTGTTTCTCTTTCTCCCGCGTCTTCCTGTTTCCTTCGACGATAATTCACGCGTTATTCCGTATTCGCACATATCGCCGCAATTGCGTTCGTGAGTGTGTGGCATCTCGCCGTGTGCATTCCATGCTCGGCGGAATTTATGCCTTATCGACTCATCCGCGGCCATGAATGCGCTTCCTACGATCATCTCACCTTTCCCCCGCGACGCGACGGCCGGATTTAAAGAGTTCTCGCGGCTTTGTTTCGAATGTCCTTCCGGCTAAAAATAACGCGAAAAATTATTAACGGCCCGAGTCCGTCGGATGTAATTAAAGCCGTAATTTTAGGCGCGACCGTCGCGATCATGTACGTCTCTCCTTACATCGCGGATTCCAAAAACCGCGTGAATAATTCTCGAGTAGTATACGACATTCCTCCGTGTGACATTTTAATCCTAATAAACGTGGCTCTCTCTCTATTTTCCGCTGTTATTGTCCTTCAAAGAATTGTAGATTTATTCCCTAAGCGAAGCTAAACACGCGAGCGCGAAAATATTCCATCATAATATAATCTGAATTGCATTATGCATAAATGCTGATTTTTGCGAAAATCAGCATTCTGTAATTATGAAGATCTTTACTTAATTTCGCGTATGAAACCAAACGTTGCCTTGAATATGAGTGAAAATTTTATATTGCTCGGTTATTTGCTGTAAAATCGTTCGTTTATTTTTAAGGAATAAGTAATTGTACCTTGAATAGAATAAAAAAATTAAAAATATAATCTTTTATTAATGTGAGAATTAAATTTAAATAACGCGCTTCACCTTTGCGGCTTTGCCTACGATTCGATAGAACGTAACAACTATATAACTAAGCAAAAATGATATAGAGTTAATAAAGGCATAAATTTGAATAATTAAGAATTGCAAGTATTATTGCAGTATCTGTAATATTATATTAAAAAGATGGTACTCTCTAATGTACATTTATTATTAAGGGAATTATTTGATCTATGTTTATTTAATAAAAAGTTACGTAATATTACATAATGCTAAACTATATTTTTATAGGACAGAGTATTGTGGCCCTTAATTTATTGTACGATTAGATTAAGATAAGACAGTTATTTTTAGTGATTTCATTTTGATATCTTTGTTTCGTTATTAATTTGAAGCATTGCCTTAACAAAGGAAAATAAAACTTAGATTAGCGTTCGTTAAAAAGAGATTCTCAGAATGAAAGGTCGTTCTAATAACTAGAGCATTTTTAAAACCGTGCTCGCCCGATTTTAATTAGTACCGAGAACTTTCCCAATTGAGTCAATTAGCCAATTGCGCGATAATTAACGCGGTCGAAGGGGGAGATTTAGCCGCTCTATGTTGGAATTCAGTTTCGTTCTCTTTCGTTTCTCGGTGATTCTATCGCCTTTTGCTCTCTAGAACAGAAATGTAAATCTCGTATTCGAAGACGGTTCTCCTATCAGAAATACAATAGAAAAATAGAAATATAGACCGTAATCAGAATGCATTCGAGAATCAAAGCTTTCGTAGTTACGTGAAAAATTACGGAAAACTGGCGAAATATATTATTATTATCAGGATTGTATCACAGGGATTAGAGAAAAAAGAAAGTTACACAACTTGCTTGCATTTAATATATTGAAATTTTATTTTCGTCGTATTTCATTCAAAAATAAAATTATTCGTAAAAAAAGATTTCTTCGCTCTCTGTCGGTAGACAATATATAACATATATATATGTGTATACATATAATATTATTACATTTTATAATAGCAATATTTACTCTCATGTATAATGTTATACATAACTCTCTACGGCGCGCGCGTGTGTGTGTGTGAGTGTATGTGTGTGTTCTTATATATCTCTTTCTCTTTCACGGGCGTCGTTAACCACCGCACAACACCTCGCCACGCAATATTATACTCTAATGGGGGGTTTATCTCGCTCTTACTGACTAAATCACATGTGGTTTCCGTTACTTTCATACATCTTGCGCCACCGCTCTCCTCGCTCGGGGGCTCAGAGCTTCAGAGCTCAGAAAAAGGCGCGTGCCCCTGAAGAATGTCGCCCACGCGATTAATTGTAACTCGAGAAGAAGAAGGCACGCCGCGAAGGCATGTGAATATACGTCTCAGTTCGTACTCGCGAGCCTGCTTCCGTATTCCCTCGTTTTTATTTCATCACATTAAAGATGCCCAAGTCGGGCATATCTGACGTCGAATGCGCGGCAAGAGAATACGGACGAGAAGTCTCCTTTGGTTCTAGCCCTTTGCGGTCCTATATCGAGACGCGATATAGGATTTCGCTTCTGCCTCGCTCTCAAGTGTCTTCCGAATCGCTCATCGGGCACCACGAATCCGAGATTCTGCGATCGAGAGCACGAAGCGACGATCGCGCGTCTCTCGATCGCACATCATCGCAATGAATAAATACAAAGAGCGCGAATATCCAAGCGAGAGGGAACAGCGCGCAACTTGGTCCACCGATACTCGCCGCAATATCGTTACGTAATCATCACTTAAAAGTAATCTGACTTTTTTCCGTATTAAATATCTCTTCCGAAACTGCTTCCTATGTTATAATGAGAAGTAACGTTTCATGCATGAAATCTCTTTGACAATTGTTCTGTGTCTTAATACTCTATTTTTTTTTGCAAAGTGCAGATTATTATAGCGATCGTTGCGAGTATCGGGGAGTTAATCTTAAGAAATAAATATATCTTAACATTCTCGTGTCAATATTAAAAAAGAAAGTACAGAGAGAGGGAGAACGAGGCCAACGGATAATCGCAAAAATCAGACAAGCGCGCAAGTTCGCGAAAGCACTTTCGGCGTCCTCCTCCTTCTCGACTCGATAAAATGTGCGTAAGTCGTAAAGGTGTAAAAAAATCGATCGCGACCTTCGTCGCGAAGAGGGTTGGTTTATCTTAAATGTTCGCGCTTAATTAATTTGATTAAAGCTCCATTATCGCATCCAAAAATCGTCTGAAACACGAATCGAGCACAGAAAAAGGAGTTTATTTTAGTCCATTTAGAAAACGTTGCGTTTCGTCCGTCCAAAGAAGCGTTCTCGGTAAAATATATTTCCTTGTAGAAGATACGAGTCGCGGATAAATCGATAGGTGTGGTCCGTCGCTCGTCCGGGCACACCCGTTAGATTTCGCGCAACGGCGTTATGCAATGTACACGTGAAGAAGACGCGTGCGTTTTGTCGCGAGCGCGACAGATCTTAAAAAATTCACGCTTAATTCTTCGCCGTAATCAAATCGATTTTTTCATACAATCTAAAAATATCCCTCAAAACAATAAGAAATCGCTCGTTTTCTTCTTAACATAGTCACTTTTATGAAAAGACTTTTCGACGCTGACCTGATTACGAAAATTCGTCCGAGAGACTCGAAAATTCTCGGACGAAGTTACGGGGACGAGAGCATTATTCGCAAAAGATATTGCATAACGGCGTGTAATCGCTATTTTTCCCCATCCGCTCGTGAAGTATTTTTCTTCGCGCTCACGCGCGCGATCCATCTCGTATCAGATAATGCGCAAAACGGCGGTAAGATTGCTTTGTTATTGCTCGCTTGCCCGTACAAGATGTCTCATTCTTTCCATTCGATTATATCCAAGTTTTTCGACATGCACTTCGAAGAGAATGCAGCGAGAGCGTATTATACATATAAAATCTTTTTAACAATCTTTAATCAAAACTCGTCTTAGATCGCCGATAATTTTACGAATAATCGAACGGAGAGATTGAGCTGGACATCCGAAGACAATTTCTCGCGAAGAAACAGAAGGTTTGCTTATTGTCGATATCGTCGTGCGATAACGATAACTCGCGAGCCTCGGGCCTAAGCCTACGCGATCTCCGTGACTTCGTATCAAAATCTATCGTACACGGTCTTGTGTGCGCAAAGTACGGGGACATACAATCGGTAGCGAATGTGCGTACTGTGTGTCGTAAGAGAAACGAGGGTGTATCCCAGCAATATGTGGAGCGTCTGCCGATCCGGTACGGCGAATATCCCGATATCGCGGATGACCGACGTCTCGCGACGTCTCCCGACGCCGTGCAGCTTGCGACACGTGGCTGAACGCGGTCGCGACGACCACCGTGTTGTGTACGTGCATCCCCGGGTACTGCACGTGTGTGAAATATCGTGTGTGTATACAATGTGAATGTGTATATATGTATGCGGTATGCGGCTCACGCATACGCGTCGCGCGCAACGTACAAGGGCATACTGGACAAGACTAGATGCACATATGACGAAATGGAGTTCCACGCGCCGTGAAACGCGCAGAAGAACCAAGGAGAACGTGACTCGCTGACCGTCTCCGGCTTAAGAGCTAAGGGAAAGATTCGGGGGGTCTTCCTGGGGGTATCGCGCGAACGGACGCAGTATATCAATCCACGCGGATGAAAGGCTATTTTAACAATTTATAACAATTTTTCATACGCGTGCACTTGGCGACTTTTTTATCTTTTTTTTTAAAGGTAATTTTTTAATGATATCAATCCACGCGGATATAAGGCTATTTTAATCTTCTTTTTTCGTTTTTTCTTTTAAGTACGTCATCCGCCGTTCCAATTTGCAAAAAGTCTATCATATTCTTGAATTTTTTTACGACAAAAACTATTTACGACAAATCATATTCTGTGAAAGATGGTTGGACGAGATAGACTAGTTAGAATCAATTTCTCGAGTATCCTGTGATAATAAGCGTGATCTGATCAATCGTATAATTACGTGATTTACGTCGATTCTGTAAGTCGGTAAATCAGGCGTGATCCGGAATAATCAGCACGCGTTAGGCGATTACATAGGGCCGTTTCTCACACCGCGAGCGTACACCGCGTCCGTCCTTTTCGCCCAGGGATGATTCTTCGACAGGTTCAACACGCACGATTGCTCCCGAAACACTAATCTATTTGTACAGACTTAATAGCGCTGGTTTCTCTCCAAAAAGCGGGGTTAAAACCGAGGCTACTTCGGTACCGTCCGACCAACGCGTTGCGGGCGAAGCGACGTCGAGGCACGTCGGAGAAAAATATCGATGCTCTTAGAAGAAATATCGAACAATGTTTAATCGCGATGCACGCACGGGCGAGGCATACGATCGTAGCGAACGCGTCTTCTGCCGATAGTTTCCAACGCAATATAAATATTAGATAATATGTATATCTCTTTATTCAAATAATCCTTCAATCCAATCGGTTCAAAGTACGTATATGGAAGATACAGAAACAATCTGTACATATTTTTACAATTTTAACAATTAAAAAATTTTACATATGTACTCGGCGCAACGGATTGCGCCTCTTCATTATTTACATATATAATTGCATTTCACCAATCACAATTAGAAAAATACTTTAATTTTAATCTTTCAACTTTGGACATTAACTGTCCAAAATTCAATCATATATCGTAAAGATTTGAAACTATGTAATTTTAATTAAAAAAAAAAAATAATACGCGAGACATACGCTACTTAATAAATCAAGCTCGTTTCGACGCTTTAGCAGTCGTCGATCGATTCTGTCGTCTGGTGTACGTTAGAATACGCGTTATTATAACAGACTGCCCTAATGCATGTTTTCTGCGCGCGGCTATAGTACAGCACCGTAATGTGTTCCTTAAGAATTAATTAATTTGTCAATCTTTCGTATGCACCAAAGTGTAGAAGTTTCCAAAACTAGCGGAATGCTCGAGTCTCTCTCGCGAAAGTGCATTCTGTAAAAGGCAAACGTGATCTCCCGGTTTGATTGCGCTTATCACATGTAAGTCGGTCTCGTGCGGTTCCTTCCGGCGCGATCGCGCCGAAAAGATGAGAATCTCCCGTTTTGATTGACTCGCAAAAATACACAATCGTCTTCCTCGTTCGCGAAAAAAAGAGCCGGCGATGAGTCGCGGGGAATCGTCGATATTCGACGAATGTAACGATCCTCGCAACTTGGCACGAGGCGTTTAAATTTTATTCACGGAGAATCACGGAGCGCAAAAATCACCTCGCGCGTATCCAGGGGTGTATCTGTGTCAAGGAAACAATTTTCGAAACTTGATTTACGTCACTTGCAAAGCGAACGCTTCGTATCGAACAAGCGAAATCGCATACCTACGCGAATTCGCGTAGAGAAGAAAATCGGCACTGCCGTTCACTGTCGAGAAAGAAAGAAGGGGGGGCCCTTCGCTTTCTACGATCTAACGGCAAGATCGTCAAGCGCGGAAACGATTTATGCAACGATCGAGCATCGTGAAAACGGTACAAAGTGAATTCGCTGACGGACGACGGATCGCGTACTCGACGACAAAGGGAAGAATGGGTAGAGAAACGAGAAGAGCCTGAGTTTCCGGTAGCTTCGAATCTCCCGCCGGCTCTCTCGCGTTCTCCAAAATGGCCGCCGCGGTACTTCTCCCCCCTCGTGCTACTTCGCGCGCGATCTCCCTCTTTCTCTCTCTCTTTCACGCATGCATACACACTCTTTCCTTGTTATACACATTCTCTCTTTCTCTCTCTCACTCATACGTATGATACACGCGCTCGCCCGTCGCCGAGCGTGCTCGTGCGTGTAAAGTCTCTCGCATGCGCGCAACACGCACGCGCGCACGCCCGCCACTCTCCCAAAAGCATCCTTTACGTTTCACGCTGTACGAAGGCACTCCTTCCTCCTTCTCCACCTCGACCGTCACCTCCTCCTCCTCTTCCTCCTGCTCCGCCTGCCGCACGCTGTTCTTGCCGTCGTCGTGCGATCGTCTCCTCCCCGATCGCGTCACAAAAGAACCGAGAGAGAGAAAACAGCGAGCGCGGTGTGGATGATGGACTCCTTATCCCTCCCCCTTTTGTGAAGATCCTTTTTCAGACTGGCAACAGGATCATCCTTCGCTTCTCGAAGACCGCCTCCTCCGTCCCAAACTCTTTGGCGATACATCGGAAAATGAGGATGAACTTTGCTTCTCCTTGGCGTCAATCGTAGAAAAACAAAGAATCCACTCCGGAATTTTTTGAGGTCGAGATAAGAAGGGGGGACGGTTTCCGAGTGACAGCCTCGTGTTTACGCAGCCAGAGATCTTCCCTCGATCGCAATCGTAGAAGAGAAGATCCAAACGACACCGGCGTTGCGCTACGACGCACCGGCCGTAGCGACAAAGTTCACCGTTCGTTTCTTTTGCGGAAACTACCGCGAAGGGGCAAGAAGGTAGTGAGCGCGGTGACAGCGAACCCGCGAGGGTTTAACGTTCGTCATCCTCGGCCAGGGAGGAAGGACGATTGGGAGCTTCAAAACTGGTGCTGGTTACCGACACCCATGAGATGACAACCGGCGTGCACGTGGTCCATGACCTGCTCCTTGAGCCGGCACACGTGCTCCTTGAGCTTGTGCACGATGCCGCTCAGCTCGCTGTTCTCGCCCTTGAGCAGCTTGACCTTGTCCTCGAGCCTGGAGATGCGCTCGAGCTTGCGCCGTCGGCACTTGGACGCGGCCACGCGGTTCCTCTGCCGCTTCCTCTCCAGCTTGATCTTCTCCTGATTCTCCATGTCGATCGGCGACATCGGCGGCGTGCTCGACACGCTCGGCACCGTCTGCGGCTCGTCCTTGACGTGCACCAGGCCGGAGTTGCTCATGGTTGATTCCGTGCTCTGCACGCTACCGGGCGGCTCCAGTGTCGTGTACGTGGCGCCGTGCATGCTGCCGGGTTCCTGCGAGCTGTCGGAGTGATGAAGCTCGTTCAGCGCGTCGACGAAGCCTCGCGCGTACATCTCCTGGGCCTCGGTGACCGCCTTGGGGAACAGGATCTGCGTGGTCGGGGTGGGTAGACTGGTGACCAGACCGTCCGGCTGCGTCATGATCAGCTTCTCGAGCTCCGGCGAGGCCAGCTTCAGCATGTTGAGATCCGGCGAGCTTAGGATCGGCATGACGTTGTTCGGGGCGGGCGGCAGTGGGCCCAGCCGCGGCCTCTTCGCCTGCGGCCCCGGCCTCTGGCAGCCGTTCAGATCCAGCGTGAGGTTCCGCTTGAGCTGGCCCATGCTGTTCTCGCGACCGTTCATCGCGGCGTAGACGCTCGCGTCCTCGTAGAACGTCTGCTCCATCGTCAGGCTGCGCACCATCGATACCGCCGGGCTGGTTAACTCGCCTCGATTAGAAACAACCGAGGTTTCACCCTCGACTTCTTTTGGTCTCTGGCCTCCGGACGAGAAAACGGCCGGTTTCCCCGGGAGTTGCGCGACTCTCTTATCCGGCCCGAAATGTTGAACACAACGACGGACTTTCCTGGAGTTTCAACACGTCAACGAGTTCTGCGACGTTCTCCGTCTTCTTTCTCTCTCTCTCTCTCAGTCTCTCCTTCCTCTGTGCCTACGTCAACGCGCAAACACTTTGCTCCGCGCTGCGGAGTGATTACATAACAGCCGCGCGCGACTGTACGCAAAAATTCACTCGCGGTACGACCGCCGTCTCTTCTTACTCCACGCCGCACCTCCGACCGTCCCACCGTCTCACGGGACTGTCACGTCACACTCGGCGTATCGCGCACCAACCACCGGCGGCACGTACGAGCGAGTCGACCGAAATCGGCGCAGAAGACGAGCGATATTTGACGCACGTCCGGCAACTTACTACGTCGACAGCAACGACAGCCGGCCCGCAGAGGAGCGGCAACCTGCCTGTCTGCCCGTCTGCTCGCCTGCCTGCAACTCCTTGTACTCTGTCCCGCCTGCCCGGCTGCTTCGACTGTCAACACAACAATGACTCACGACACGACGTGGTGCGCGTGTGCCGCGTCTTTCTGTCCACAGAACGGAACGCAGCGCGACGGGATCGCGACGACGTGTGTTTGCGCGAACGCGGATCACCCTGTGCGCCACGGTGGCCCGACAACTTGTGAACACCCAACTAAACGTACTCGCTTATATCCCGTGAGTCATGCCGGCTGAAAATAGCACTGTCGTCACCGATCGTGGTGCAGATTGGCCGACGATGTCGACACCCAGCGTGCCCGATTGGCCGGCCGATCGGAGTTACTGGGAAATGACGGACGCATGCGCCCCCGGTTGGATGTCCACCGATAGTGGGGGTCAGCATGGGGGGAGGGGGCATCGAAACGCCGGTAAAAGGGTTAAGGTGCACATCCACCTGACAGACATTCCGGAACAGTGTGAAGACGCGAGCTGTCATGAAATGTCAAAAATGTAAAAGATCGTCTCAGGGTGATCTACGGCGCGGACGATTTCGACAGAGTCGACTTTACAAACTAATAAGTTTCTTTTGCAATGTTGATCGGGGGATCAGACGTATAGGTGAGAACGATGCTTTATGTTCGCTGTCTCGCTCCCACGCGACCATCTGCGGATCTATCTTCTCCCTTTACCGCTTTGGGCAGGCAAACGAGTTTCTATACGCTTTTGCCGAAATCAAATAGTTTTCAAAAAGTTTATATTAAAAAAATAAAAAGTTGCGAAACGCGTGTACTTATCAAATTTCGTATTTTCGAAAGTTCTTGAAAGCGGCAAAATCTTTGCCTAGAAAACGCTAATATAACAGTGATCTACAAGTTTCGATATCGTTGAACTTAAAACATTTTCGCCTGTGTCTCTTAATGAAATGTTAGAAATTGGCGATTAATTGTTGAGGGCAAAAAATACACTTTCCTAATAAAAATAACTACAGGTAAAAGTTACTTATTAATGGACATCGGATTTTTTTATATGCAGATTGGTGAAAAAAAGCAATTAATAGCCAAGATTTTGTTATTTATATTATTTATAATAGTCAACATATTTATACCTAACATATGTTGCAGTAGAAATATGATGGATATTATAAATAACATGATCTTAGTTATTAATTGCATATAAAAAATCCGATGTCTACTTATTAACTACTCCACTTGTCACGTCAATATCGTTTGCATAAAAATATAGCTGTAAGCCTTAATCTCAATTGTACCCTCTCGCCGCATGATGTCCGTAATCGACCGTCTGCATCTTATGCAATTGCGTCTCGATGCACCAAGCGACTTTCAGGACGACTAAAACGTCCGTCATTATCGTTCTTGCTTAATGTAGTCGACCGTGCAAGTTTGACGTATCGACTTTAAGATAAATCAACGCTTCTCAGGCCACTCGATTGTCACAAGTTTTAAATACCGTTAAATGTAGCTATTTATCGCCTGTGACACGAGAAGCGAGAAATTCGAACGAGAATGCATCCAGCAAATTTTTCCGAAACGACCCGCGTGAATTTTTTGAAATGTTCGACTGTTCGATTAATATTCTTATGATTTATAGAAATCTCTTTACAATAAGTATAACACTTCTTTTAATTATTAATTTATTTTTATCGTTATCCAGTATTTGTAATTCATAGAAACTTTTTAAAATACATCTTTATCGTCTATATTTACTTCTCTCGCAACAACAATCTAAGAGTTAGATTCAATAAGAACGCCGTGCTCGTTTACCGGATGTATTTTCGAACAAATTGGCGTTTTACTGCATTCTGGCCGCATGCGCTTTCCCGGGAAAGCTCCTTTGATCGTTTCACCCGAATCTTTTCCTGGAAAATCGCGTTGAACGCGCGCTGTTTGCTGGGTCGTTATCCGATTCGGTTGTTTAGTTAGAGAAAAACGAAAGAAAAGAACAAAACATAAATGTCATCAAATTCATACTGTATACATTCCATATTCCAAAGTACATACAATGTCTAATTAAAAAACTAAAAATTTCTTGCGCTCTCTCTTGCAATATTATAATCGAATTATTATTCTTATCACCGGAAACAATTGAATATCAAACTTCTGAATTATAATCGACGTGATTAAATTAAGAAATCGAACCGTTTAAATTTTCTTTTCGTTAGCAAAGTATATCGTGCGTGTGCATCGTTAGTTCAAGTATATATCATATATATGATTGAGGAGAGTGAGAAAAAGCAGGTGTTTCTCGCGGGTGACATTCGCGTGCTTTCTCGGACTAAATTTAATTAGGCGATTCTCGCTCGTATCTCATAAGATAGGCGCGTGCGTGCTCTCGCGAAAGTAAAGACACGCGAGGAAATAATCGCGTGTTTCTCAAGGTGGACAACGTCGAGGTAGACCGTAACGCGGCGTTAATTAATAGGGACGTCCGTCTCAGATCTCGTCCGTGATTTTCCGGTGTGCACGGGGAAATGCGCGAAGCGTCGATATCCGGCAATCCAACGAGAGCGACAAGCACGCGACGTCGCGACGACGACGTGACCGATGGCATGCCGATACATCGGTTCACGTTGCACTGACGTTCACGTAACGATTGATCATGTCGCGAATATCTTTCCGTGGTGTATCGCGTTACTTTTTCTTTTTAACAGCAGCTTAACGAACCGATATAAACGTAGCGTCGCGAGATAGCTGCGTCCTCATCCTCAAGTCAGTCTTTAAACTTGAAACGACCCAGCAGCTTCGATGCAAAAATACAGAGTTATTGGAGAATCAAAGAGGGCTATTATATAAACTTTAATATATAAGCGTAATACATATATGTAATAATTAGTTCAAATTAATTTTTTCCAAACCCGACGTGCATTTTACTGTCGTATACTGGTGATTGAGCATGCACATCGCATGCAAGCATCTTTTTGTGGGAAAGTCTTCCTCGTGAAAATTGAAACACGTTAATTGTTAGCGCACCAAAATTTAATCAAAGTTTCATAGTCGGTGCTTTTTAGTTTCTTCATTCACGTTACAAACATTTCAGCAACGACTCTTTTTCTTTCTTTCTCTTGCTCTCTCTCTCTCTCTCTCTCTCTCTCCTGTCTTCGTTTTTCTCTTTTTTCTTCTTTCCTGGATTGGCGACGAACGCCGCATGGGCGAGGCAGTGCCAGCTGCTTTTTTCATCTCGAAATTAAACAAACATAATTAATTTCTGCTCCCGCGCGCCCGCGCTCTCGCGCGGAAGGTTAAATCCATTACATATACACATAACGCTACTCGAGTACACGGAGGCCAAGCCTTTTTATTTGCGCACGAAAGCTGCCGGCCGTTTCCGACGGCGATCAATCATTTCGCGCGAGCACGGCAAAACAGTTTCACCTCGCGCTTAATTTCGAGACTTTTCCACGGAGCCTCTTCGTTGCGAGAACATTAGGCGTTGTTTAGATGGATAAGAAAATCAGATAACACACAAATTTTAAAATCGAGAGGAAAATGGGAGATGAGAATCTCTGGATATTAATTATTGTTGACAGTTCGGTCATTAGGTTCATTTCTAAAGCGTTATCAAAACGAATAATACAATGTATAGTGAAATCTGTTATTGAATTGCGTATAGAATTATAATATTTGCAACTTAACTTGAAAAGGATTAAAAGTAGATTTAAAAGTATAGATTTGTCCATCGGGGGAATTGAGTATGATGTTTCTGATTATTTTCACACGATATTAATATAAAAAAATATTGGACATCATATAATACGCATGGCTAATCGTCTGTCTAATTGGTAACGCAAACAATAATAAAAATGCATCGGCTTGGTGGAAAATGGAAAAAATTCGAAACGCTTGAAAATGTAAAAAAAAAACGTATATTGTAATCGTAAATTAATTATTGAACCAGAGGAGAAAATAATTTACTAACAATTTATATATCCCGGTTATGTTTGTTAACCCTAATCCCTCTAACGTTTTTTCCATTTAATCAACGAGATTTTGACTGTTTGCCGTTTCGAGAGTAAATGAACTAGGGCTCTGAAATTTCTACTTGATGTTCCCTACTATAACAACTTTTTTTAGGGGTAGGGGGAATTATCCCACGGCCGTTGGTTTTCCGGAACTAACGTCCAGAACAAAGCGACATTAGAAACGCGTGGGACACGAAAGTGCCTGGTTGGAGGGATTAGGGTTAAAATAATTCTGGTGGCATACAAAAGAATACCAATAGTATCGTAAAAGGAAGATATATGGGCATGTTTTGTACGTATTAACGCTTAAAATAATAATGATACAAAGGCCAATTATATAGTATGTGCGGCATATCAGTGGAAGAAGTAATGTATCGGGAATATGACGTTCCCGCGCGACTATTGGGCCAGTTGAATTAACTGTATCTCTCAAGATAGCAACTAATAAACGCCATTGATTATGAAACTTGGTAGCTACTCAGATAGTTTACATGTAATACAAACTCGTTTACATCATTCTGTCAAAACTCGATACGGAAAGAGGCATTGTTATCAATATTGATAATGTGATGTAACAATTTTCTTCATTAAATCTTGATTATGCGTATCAATCCTCCCTTTTAGTCTCGTCTCAGTTTCCTGCAAAGAAACACATTTTCTCACGTTATATACGAGATTTAATTATTCATATTCGGATATTTTAATTAGAGCAAATTCTACTACGACATATTCTATCCAATCTAAGCAAAATTTTTACTCACTTGTTTAAGTTGGGTTCTTTCAAGTTTACCGGCGCCTTTCTTCGTCGAGGACGACTTGAAGCGTAGGTACTTTCGGAGTCTCGTGGATTTTCTTCTTCATCCGACGTGATGTCTTTCCTGTAAATCCAGGATATAAAAGCATATATGATTCAAGACAACCTGCAAGAGAAAAATCTTATAACGAATTGTAATAATTATACATACGCGACGTTATTAGCATTTTGGGAATCATTGGCCGACACCCTAGGCTTAACATGGGATTCATTGAGCTTCTCCAAAACGACTTTCGCTGCGCTCGGATCTCGATTGTTCTCCGATTTGTTTCTCGGCTTCGTCATATTCTTAACTGTCGAAGAATTTTCAGTATGACTCGTTCGGTCTTTCGTGCTCGACGTTTTCGATTTATTACTATTTTTATCGGAATGCTTCGTCTTTTGCAGTATCAACGTTCTCCTGTGATCGTCAATTACAATTAATGGCAGTTTTCTCGTGATATGGTTGTAATTGGAGTCATTCAAACTCCGATTCGACACAGGTGCCACCGGAATATTATTCGTAACTCTTGGTATCGCGGCGATGACTTCGGTGTCAATTTCGTTACCGACAGCGGAATCATTTATCACGGGTTCCTCCAAAGTGGGCAATCGCAGCTCGTTGATATTAAATTGCATATTTTGTGCGGATGGACGACACATTAACGTAAAGTCTTCCGTCTCTTCCGGCGCCTCGGAGTGCCCTCGTCTCAGCGTCACGAAACTCGCAAATTTCATTGTATCATCCGCGTTACTGTCTTCTACGTTATCCAAACTTTTTTCATGGTTGGACACAGTCTCCACCGGCAGTATCTCGCAAATATTACCATCCACATCCTGCTCGGGCGGATACGATTCGGAACGCTCGGCAATGGGCGCTGTGTCTCTCTCTGAAGTTTGCATATCGCTCATAGATTCGTTTAGATTCGATGTCTCTTCTACGTTGCTTTCTGTGACGCTCGAATCATCATACACTATTACTTGTGATGTATTATTGTTAACGTCAGAATCGTCAACAGGATCGACTTCCTCTGGCTCGTTATCCCGCGACGGCATAGTATTGTTAAATAGCCAGCTCGGACCTTCCAGTGGATCTTCCTCCCAAGTTTTAGTATTATTTTGTGACGGTCTTGAGTTACAACTTTCCGCTACACTCAAATTCCTACTAATATCTTTATTAAAGACCTTATTATTACTTATTTGCATATCAAGGTCTTTTTTCGATGTGTCCACGTGCGTTTCATCTTCCTCGCTCGAGTTAATCGACACCTGCGATTCTGATGTTGCGTTTACTCTGTCTGATAGATCAGGAGATGTGTCACCATTACTCTCCTGAGTTTCAATATCAATCCTGGTGCCAATTACCTACGGGAAAATAGTAATGCAATAACAGTTTAAATATATGTAATATCTAAAAGGTAAGGCAAGGGTTAATATCCTTATTAGACATATTAGACATTTTTTTACATTACATGAGTGAAGCAACTCTCCAAAAAATTGGAGAGTACTGCAATAATTTAGTAATATTATCCTGAAGTTTTATTGTAGTATCACTTACATTAATATGTCCCGTAGTTGTTGGAGTTTCATCTATTTCGGACCATCTATTTCGCGATCGCGAAAAAGATACCGACAATCTTGAATGGTGACTTCTCCTTCTTCTTCTTAATCTTTGTTCGTCTGCCACTGTAAATGTATATAAATATTAGTTAAAGATTATATTAATTCATCAACGTATAATGCTTAAATAATTAAATTACTATTCGTGATATACCATACCATTAACAATGGGCGAAGAAATTGTGAGTCTTTCTGGCAGTCTGCACGTACGACCATTTTCCTAAAACAACGGTGTATTGTTTAGAAAGAAATATATAAATAAGTATACAAATGTTTCATAAATTTTATATATGTAGGATGTTTTTTAAAGAGCGCCCACTACTTACATAGCGCCATTCCCTATCAAAAGTTGAATCAAAAAGTTCTGAAGCATTTTTTTTCTATAACGCTTAAAAAAGCAGTAATTACTAAGTAAAGTCAATCTAATCAGCACTATCCTTTATTATATATTATAGAATATTATAGAATCAAGTATTATAGAAAAAAAAAAAGATTCAGGACTTTTCGACTCAATTTTTCATTAAAAAATAGCGCTATGTAACTAATCGGCGCTTTTTAAGAAACACCCTGTATATATGTATGAGAAATAATGCTTACGTTCCAAAATTCACTCTAGTTAACTAAAATGCTATGGTGTACGTAACGTAAACTATAGATTTTAGTTACCCAGAGTGTTTTGAAACACAGCCAATGATACAAATTATATACTTACATATCTTAGAGGTGTGGTAGGCATAATTGGCGATCTAGTCTCATTATTTATTTCCTGGCTTCTATTAGGTGAAGTTACTTCTTCTTGTATATCACTTAGTCTCGATATATTATTAATACTTTCCATATTAACCCGGCTTAAATTAATTGTGGGCTTAGTAATAGTATGCCCACCCACCATAGGCTTCACGACACCTTTAGCTGGTGATTTTGTTGATAATCTAGTGGTCGATTCTTTCCCTGAAATATGTTCCAATGTAAAGACATAACAAATAATGACACAGACAATACATGATTCATGAAAAAAAAAAAAATTAAAATAGAAAATTTTTTAGTTTAATATATTTTATTATTGAGATATTCCTTACTTCCAGCTGAAGCGGATGACAGTCTCACAGTACTATTGGAAGCAACATGTTCTTGACACATAGAGATAGTGTTTGTCATATAACCAGTCATTGTCACCAACATTTTTAGTATTTCCTTTGCATTATTTAGTACATTTGATATTACAGTCTGAAATAAATAATAGATATAAATAAGAAAACTAGCATGTAGATTAGAAAAAAAATATATATATAAATAAATTTACATTCTGCGAGAGATTATCTCTCCCAATTCCAAATCACTAATATGAACTATATTGGGTACGGTCAACGTGATGCTACAAATACTTCGAAACATTCCTCTTCACTTTTCTTTCAATGAAGAAAGAAAGAGAAGAAGAACGCTCCAAAGCATTTGTAGCGTCACGTTGACCGTAGCCTTTGTCACATAAATAATACTCACATTTCGCGTGTTGCATACCAGATGTAACTGTTGAACCTCTCCAATTAGTTCTACATTCTGCGTGAAAAGTGACTGACTATTCTGCTTCTCTTTCGAAAGCGCCTTGGCCAAATAACTATTGTTGTTCTTCAATTTCTCATACACTAAGAAGAAATAATTTTGTCAAAACAACAACGGCAACATGTCGAAGAGAATACAAGATGAAGCTAGAGAATTCTAATTTTTCTCACGTGGTCTATATGATATCCGTTCTTTGTAATGATTCCTCAAGCACTGCGTCCTTTTGGTCAGCACACCAACCCTCTTGGGTTTTCGAATTGGCATTTTTGGCATGTTGTACGTTCCTGCCCAACGAATCTATATACAGACAATAGGATAATCGATAATGCATAGAAATGCATAGAATCTTACAGATTATATTGAAAATTCTCTATCACATTTTTCAATATTTCTTCCGATTCCACGGAACAAACATTTCGTGACAAAACAATCGTTTATTATCGGAACCTAACCTGCGTCTAATATTTGAGGATACAAAACTGAAAACAATCTTCCCTTTCCACTCGTCGAAGAAAAAAAAACGTACCTCGTTAACCTCGTAATGTATAATTACGATAATGGAATATCGCCCCCCGATTTCTTTTGTGTATATACAAATCTCGTCCAAGATCTTTTCGTCACACGACCAGATGACAGGTAAACGTTCGTGACGCTTCTATACTCGTGATAAACGTTACGAAATTAGTAACAAAGCGATATCGCTCACGGCTCACACCGATCTCGAAACTCAAAACGCGTGTCTACTAGGGCCATGGCACACGGAAAAACCTAGGCGATTTAAGGCTGTATACATATTACACTAACGATTCCACCAATGACAATCGAGCATTTTCGAAAACATGAGGCCTACGGCCTAAATTTCGTTTGTCGCACGACAATTATTCACTGAAATCGATAAAAAACTCTTTCGACTTTTCAGAAATTTATTATTCTAACCTAACTTATATGTGTCGTGACAATTGTAGTATCCTGAAACTGTCATTTTGAAACTCCCAACTGTGATTGGTCGATTTGCTTACTACTTATATTTAGCTACATTTGTCCATGTGTAACGGCCTTAAGGCTCAAGCAGTAGACAATCGACTAATCACGGCTGAAGAGTTTCAAAATGTTTTTTTTTTTGAGAATTCTCTCGACTGCGATTGGTCAATTTGCCTGTTATTTAAAAGCCATAGCACATAGAAAATCGTAAATGATTTACGAGTTACAAACAATTTTTTTCATTCACAGCATTTCCTCTAAATTTTATTATTTATATATTTCTGCGTTATTATCTAGCCTTGGCTTTTTTTGTACAGATAGACTGCGCTCTCATTTGAAGTTACAGAAGTCAGTAAATAGGAAAATATATTACAAATTAGATTGATTAAATATATGTAATTTCAATATGAAACGATAATACGCTGATATTAAAATTTCGATTATGTACTAGTATTTGATGCTTACAATTTACAAAGGTATAAAAAGTTTTCAGTTTAATTCTTCTATAAGAATCAAGAGATCCTCCGCCAATCCTCCGCCGGCCGGCGTCCACTCCACCGATCCTCCTACTATCACTTATTGTTAGATTGGATTTTCGGATTTAAAAAATACATTGCTAGAAAAATAACTTTTTATTCATTTTTTGTTACATCTTTGTTTAACTACAAAAAAAAAAAAGGTTACAACACATTCCCCAATCTGAGAGAAACACGTTTTGTCACACATTGTTCGAAAAGAATCTCTAAACATTTTGGTAATTTTAAAATAATACCATCTTGTAAAATTTTGAAATTACATTGAATACAGTACTTTTCCATATAATTACAAGAGAATAATGTATGTTAATTTAGAACAGGATAGTTTGTACAAAACATAACATAAACATGATTGTTACTTGATCAAATGCAAAAGAGCTTGTTAATGTAAGAAAATGTAGTTATGCGAGTGGTCTTCTATAAGCTTGTAATCTGTTATGATTGTATATGGAATGAATTTTTTCATACATGTACTTAAAAAAATATAAAAGATTATCATACTGTCCATTGTATTTCTGCATTATTTCTTCGTTATTAGTTACAGAGTGTTCGTCAGAGAATTCTTCGGACTTTTCTGATTCCATCGAGCCATCGAATTTATCATAGTCTTCCTCCACCCCAAGAGCACACGTGTGTAATTCCACTAGAAATTGATGAATTGCTTCGATTGTCGCTAAATACCATCTTGGACTCTTCTTTTGATGACGCCAAAATTGAGAAATCCTCGATTTTAATATCACGCAACGTAGTTCTGTGTCAATCATACAGAAATAGTAAGTTCAACAGCAACGCAAACGCATTGCACATGTATGATAATCATAAAAACTAAACTAATCCTTTCTTATATACCTCTCAATCTTTGGTCTTTGTATATTGATTTGGTTTGCTGCCACGTGCTGTCAATGAAGATGGCCCTTTTTATAGGAAATACAGTCCTTTCTTCCGAGGCGTCACATTTCCTCCCTTCTCTTATAAAGAGATCCTCGACGCTCATATTCCTTGCACTATCTTTGCTAGGAAAAACTAAAACAGTCTAAAAGTCCAATGTCCGTCAGGTTAACAACCGTATCCTTAAGTATCGCAGGGCTTGAAAACAGATCGTCGCTCTTCTTCTTACTTCCTCTTTATTCAATATCTCCGGAAAATCCGGATACGTGTAGATTTTTACATCCTCCGGCGCGAGTATCGCGGCGTGGACGGCCGTGCTCTTGCCGTCTATCTCGCGAGAATGTTTAATGATGTCGATTTTAATTGGCAGCTGAAAAATACAATATAGAATTATATTATGAAGCAGAAAAACGGATAAAGAATACGTTAACTTTTTCATTCTTATATGAGTGACAAAGTGCCCGAATACTCTCGAGTAATTAAGGTGTCGAGCAACTTTTGGTTTCGCCGTCTTCCCTGTTGGATCAATCTACCCAAAAATAGTACTAAAAATAATATATTCATCGATTTAGGAGCTCTCGCAAAGTTGCAGTCCTCTAATGCGACTAGACATAGAAAAGTTTCAGTTTTTTCATATTGTTAAAATGCAAAAGGTACCTCGTCATTCACATAAAGGTTAAGTTAACGTTTAAATAAAACTTTAGTTATGCCCATAGTAATCTGTACCTTCACTCGTGGAAAATACGAGCACGGGATGACAGGATGGTAACAGGTGTAGCAGAAGAATTTCCGCGATCTTTGACAGAAGTCACATTTCCTTCTAAACTCGACTAACCCTAGCCAATTGGTATCTTTAATTTTCAAACGAGCGAAAGGTGCTTCGTCGATTATCCTCTGTTTCTCCTCCAGCTCCGACAATCCGTCGGCGTCGGTATGTTTTTCGATGATGCACTCCGCCATACTTTCGACAGAAACCGAAATATCTGTATTTATTTATTTATAATAATAGAACACGCACATATAAAACTGATAACGTTGCAGAACGGACAAGTGCGTCTAACATGGCGAATCCTTTATAATTAAATAATCTCATGTATAGTAGCCTTTAGTAATACTGTATACGGAGTAATGAGAGAGTTCACGAATTTACTGAAGCCTCCTACGAAGAGTTCGCATTAAAAGAAAGGTTTGGATACTCGAAGGTCATCCTTTTTCTCTTGCAAACGCAGTGGAAATCGTCCACGTGTTTACCATTCTTGTTTTTCGTTCAATTCTTTTTCCTTTATTGGCTTTATTCGTCCTCCGTTCGTGCCTAAGAAAGAAAGAGAGAACAAACCTGTCAATGCTTTTCTTCTCTTTTAAAGCGAGCTATAGGCCTATTCTATTATAGCTGAACTTCTTGCACAGTTCATCTTTTTTCTTTTTCTCTCCAACATGAAAGGAAAGAGAGGAAAGATGAACCGTGCGCAAGAAGTTCAGCTAATATAAAAAGAACAGGCCTATTGTCTCTACCAGACTATTCAGGATTACGAATTGGATATTATGAATTCAATTGGAACAAATTGTTGTCCATTTCTACCAATGTAGATCGATTAACTTTAATTTCCATTTAATTTACTTTTAATTTACTTTTTTTTCTAGTTCCAAGTATTAGAAAAAGTTAAAAGATAAATTAAACCGAGATTGAAGTTATATAAATATTGGCAGAAATGAGACAACCACGTCGTGTGTATTTCTGTCAACTATAATTTTGGTTTAATTTACTTTTTATCTTTTTCTAGTTCTAAAAATTAGAACGTCTGTTCTGCCAATATGTAGGATTGCATTGACTTTAATTTTGTCAATTTAACTTACTTTTTATCTTTTTTTAATCCACATTGGACAGAAATGAACATGATTGGTTGAATTGTAATCTTCAAGTCACCATCCTCGATTTCCATCGCTTCCTGTCGCTCAGTCTGACACGGGCCTTTAAACATATGGCCACTCGGACCAAACGTGCGAGGTGTGTGAACGTTTAAAGTACAACGAGACGCGCAGAACGTGATTCTTTTTGAAATAATCCCAAATCCCAGTATATTCTACGGAGAGCCTAAAGGAATTTCAGAAGCATGCCCGCGCAAAATTGAACATTGCGAAGAATATCGTCGTGCGACTGGTACGTATACTGGAGGCACGACACGCTCCCGTTGACACACACGTCACCGTCGGCTCCGTCGCGGTCGTTCCCCGTGTATTAAATTTCACGCCTGTTGCGCACTTTCACAAATTCACAACGCTTTCGTAATTTTTTTTTCCTCTCGTAGCGCAACCTCGTCCCAGGGGACGAGCTCGTGCGTTCGGTTTGGCCCGCGCGACCCGCGACGCGTGATCGTCGGACGAGAGAGAAAAAAGAAACGGAAGCTGCAACAGGCTGCGAAAGAAGAGAGAAAAAATAATATAACCTGTAACCCTCCGACGAGACTAGAGTCCAAAGTCTGGGCGACTCGCGGCGTCCGGTGCGCGCTTTTTTTATCGTGTCTTATGTAATGAGATCAAATAAGATCATCACACACGTTTACACAGTCGTAACGTCACCGCGCGTCATACCTCCGTGACGACAATTTATGTTTGCGTAACGGTGCGTAATTTTTGCTGGACGAAACGCGCGAGGTCGTTCTCCTTTCCGGAGGCGAGCATTCGTTCGGATTTGTTGACGATTCGCGATTAATCTGACTCGCGTTTCAAGTAGGTACTTGCCGGTCTCTTTGTCATCTTGACACGCGGCTCGGAATGCCGTCTAATATTGACAGAGTTGCTCACTTGCTTTTCTTTTTCTCAAACGCGTGTTTATACCGGAAGAAGCGGGATACGTTATCATACAATATATCATACAATGTATATTACGATCTTGCACTTGAAGTTTTATAGCGACGAGATATAGATTTGCAACAAGAACTTGTACCATGGAACTAATACTTTTTTTTTTGCAGACTTGCGGTCAGTCATATTTATTCTGAATCATGGCGCAATACGAAGATGTCATTCTGGAAGCCAAAGAAAAAGAAGACGATTTATCAGTGGATTTAGGAGTGCGACATCGTATCCCATGGAGCGAACGTGTATTGCTAAATAGCGAAATACCTGGTTTACATGAAGTTAAAGAATTGTTAGAGGACGATGACGCAAGTTGCCTCGCAGAAGAGGAGGACGGAGTTGGGTGTCCGTTACCTTCGACGCCGGAAGATGATCATCTTCTGGATTGTGAAGTATGTGCCTTAAAAGAGTACATTAAAAGAATATATATGCAATTAATGATTGCACACATGATTATACATGATTAAACATCTATCATTTATATTACAGATGACTGAAGTGTTGAAGGCAGGAGTACTGAGTGATGAAATCGATTTAGGTGCACTAGCGCATAACGCAGCAGAGCAGGCTGAGGAATTCGTTCGAAAGGTAAAAGGATATCCAGATATTTACAATGATATATATTTGCAGTAAGAATCTTTTCGTTAGATGATAGCAAGAAACTTGCTATAGGGATTAGAGTTAATCTACTTTAATATTGTTGACCAGCAAATTACAAATTTAAAGCTGGAGATGTTATTTGCAGGTATGGGAGGCATCATGGAAACAGTGTCACTTTAGAAATCTACCAAGATGGTTGCAAGATAACGATTTCTTACACGCTGGCCACAGACCGCCATTACCCTCGTTTTATGCGTGTTTTAAGAGCATTTTTCGAATTCATACAGAAACCGGTAATATCTGGACACATTTATTAGGTACGTTCCTGTCTATTAATCAAGTGACGCTAAATGTATCGATGTGCAGTTTCTGTAAAGAAAAGCATATATATACATAGCGTATTCTTTTAAGTATATTCTGTGAGTTTTGGTTATCAATTTTGCTCATAAAACTATTTTTTTTTCTTACAGGCTGCGTTGCCTTTATTGGTATAGCTATATTTTTTCTATCGCAACCTCCTATAGAAATTCAATTGGAAGAAAAATTGGTATTTGGTACCTTCTTTGCTGGTGCTATACTTTGCCTAGGATTGTCATTTGCCTTTCACACAGTTCATTGCCACAGCGAATGCGTGGGAAAGCTGTTTTCAAAGCTAGATTATTGTGGCATAGCTATGCTTATTATGGGTAGTTTTGTACCATGGCTTTATTACGGATTTTATTGCGACTATCAACCCAAGTTAATCTATCTGTCTGTGGTGGTTGTCCTTGGTATAACCAGTATCGTAGTTTCATTGTGGGAACGATTTGGCGAACCAAGCTATCGTCCGCTCAGAGCTGGGGTTTTTATGGGTTTTGGACTTAGCGGGGTAAGTTATTTTTTTTAAATCAGTTATAGCTTAGAATTAAAATAAATTTCAAAAACTTATGTATTAAAATTTATCTCAATTCTACATCTATATCATATACGTTTCAACTTGACGTTTTAATTCTGTGTCTAATTATATCTTAATTCTATATTTAGGTAATACCAGCTGTACACTATGCCGTCGCCGAAGGTTGGTTCAAGGCGATTAGCCAAGCATCCCTCGGATGGCTAATACTAATGGGATGTTTGTACATATTAGGCGCGTTATTTTATGCTTTAAGGGTACCTGAACGTTTTTTCCCAGGAAAATTCGACATTTGGGTAAGCAATATTAAAATGTCGATTTATAACGACTCAATTTCAGATTATTTTGACGATATCGATATATTATATTTTAATATTTTTATTTTATAGTTTCAGAGTCATCAAATCTTCCATGTATTAGTAATCGCAGCTGCTTTTGTTCATTACCATGGTATTACGGAAATGGCAATGCACAGAATGACAATAGGCGATTGCACAAATCCATCGCAGGTGTTGGCTTTTTAAATCTCCGGGCATATATCTTCATTTTGTTGATAACTTTCATATTTCATTAATCTAATAAAAAGACTACAAAGATTCCTAAATCTTACACTAGCATATTTGTGCTGTTGAAAGATATGGTAAACCTAGAATGGATATATTTAATTTCAGATTTATGTTAGAATATATTTTAGAATGTGTTGTCGTTTATTTAATTGTATTATTATATTTTATTAATTTTTAACAGCCGGAAGTTATTTTTTGAAGATATCTATGTGACAGGGATTTGGTGTAATTCATTTTTTTGCAAAATTTCTAGGGAATTTACAAAAAACTGGAATATTGTGGATGAATAAAAATTATAAAAATCTTAATAGGAGATTTCAGTGATTTTGTAAAATTTTGGACTTTGCTAGTGAAATTGTGAGTTGAGATTTTTATTAATTTATATATAAATTAATAAATATTATATTTACAATTTATATTTATAAATTAATAAAATATATTTCTGATTTATATTTATAAATTATATTTATATTTATAAATTATGTTTATATTATATTTATAATTTTTATTCCACAATATCTTCTTTTTCGTGGATTTCCTAGAGATTTTGCAAAAAATGAATTACCCGAAATTCCTGTGACATTTATACATATATTTGCAAGCTGTTTGATATTGTTGAGTTTATTTAAACTTTCTTTAAAATTAATGCAATTTGGATATATATTGATGTGTGATTGATATACTTCTTTATAATGGAACGGATTAGACATCAATAAAACGTTATACATATATACAGGAACTTTCAATGCACACATAATTACGTTGAAATACAATATATTCAAACTGGAATTTTCTGAATTTCCCTAAATACGAGATGCAAAAGTCTACATATTATTAAAAGATACAATCTATCGAATTCGGATACTATAAATGAAATAGAATTCCCACAGAAGTATACAATGTAAGGTTAAATGGCCATGTATTACTTATTTTTAGATTTTTGAAGTTATCTTGTAAATTATATGAATATTTAGATATATATATATATATATATTTTTCCTTATAATTTTCTCTTTATTCATTTGCGTCCATATGTTATATTATATTATAACTATAGCAAAATAACCAAAACAATTTAATTATAATTAAATTATTAATTATTATTAGAAAAGATTAAATTCAGAGCGTTTTTGGATTATTAAAAATATCCAAGCATTAGTTGCATCTAGTTAGGCACTTTGATAAAAAGAGATAAATTATTTGTTTTTTATGTAAAATTTATTTAATACTTAAGCGGGGAGCACACACTTCTGCATAACGCATAATGCGTAAGCATAAGAAAATTGATTGGTCTATTTTCTTATGCACATGTATATGGACCAATCAGTTTTCTTATGCTTACGCATTATGCGTTGTGCAGAAATGTGTGCTCCCCGCTTTATGATATGCAAGACGAAATACAGACGATAGGCAACGAGAACAAAACGCGTGTGACTAAGATTTAGGAAGCAACGGTTGCTATATGAACGATTTTGTAGCATAAGTTCTATAAAATCTATAATATATTTTGAACAAAGTCATTGTTAAAATAATATATGAAAGTTTGTTTATATATATACTATCATTTTATATATATTATACATATGTGATGTACCAACCTAATTTTTTCAAATGCATTTTTTATTTTCCAATTTGTATACCGTATTCAAAGTTCTTAATGTATAGAATTCTAGATTATATATGTATATATATCTGGTATATATACCTATCTGATATATATATATATATATATATATATATATATATATATATATATATA